ATGATCTGTAAATAAGAATTAAGTAGATAGTTATAGTTTTTCTTGCGCCTTAATATGAATAATAAGTGGATTTGAAGGTACTCATAACTCATCATTTGATATCCTTGAAAAGAGGTGAATTCGGTAGTAGTTCTTATGCTTATGGCTAAAAGTAAGATACTGAACTGAGAAAGAATAGATATAACCCTAGAACTATCAAGCCCATTTCAATGGAACTCCGGAGGTGTTGTGGGTGGTTTGCCAGAATGCACATTTATTTCTGTGCCATGTACCAGGTGTTTTTCATGTATTTGAAATATTTCTTGAATATCTTGCATTACACATTTTAAAGGGAGCGCCCCCCCCCCCAAAGAAAAGTTTAATTTTCTTTCTTAAAAAAAAAAATCTATTATTAATGTTAATTGTGACTTATTTTAATGGCAAAATTTATTTTCGCAGCATGAGAACTAAAAATATTTAACACAAAGAGATTGCAGATTAATCTTCTCCAAAAGTTTTAAATGAAAAAGATTAACAAATATTGTAGGATGCTGGAGTTCCGCTCACTTGATAGCGTCTAGGTTACATAATTGCTCTACGATCTTCATTAAATTCTCATATGTAGGCATTTTTGCAAATATATTGCAACGGGTGAAAAATATAGAACTTTTTAAAATAAGAATAAAATTCCTAATCCATTTACACTGAAAATCAGTTATGATGTTTTGATTAGTACAATAAAATGAAAATTGTTGAGGTTAAGAAAATATTTGAAAAAATGTTGATTTTGTTTATCTTTCACTGTGAGCGCCTAGAAAAAAGACTGCAAATAAGTGTTATAAGGACCTCAAAAAAATGCATTAGCTTTATTTGGTATATATGCTAATATTTATTAGTAACATTTTGTTTTTTAGTAAGTGAACATATTCCATGTGTTTGATATGCTAATTTAATTACATTCTCACAAGCAAGTATTGCTAACATTCGTTCAAATTTGGTTGAATAAATCACCAGGTCAAGTAGTATGTTATCAGTAAAACAACCTCTATTAATCTATTATTAGAGGTGAAAATTTAATAGGTTATTTAAATGAGTTTCATCAGGTGTGCGAGGTAAAGATTTTTTAGATGATGTATTTTTAATTACAAAGTTAAAATGTTGTAAGTATAAAGGTTGAAGTTAAATATGTGTTAAATAATAGTGTTGTGTGAATAGGAGTGAACTACCAGCGTGCCGTGGAAGTACTGGACCATACATGCCCCAAAAGTTGTGTTTAAAAATTTAAGCCTGGTGCTGTATTATGGAATTTATTTTCTATATAAATTGGTTTCGATTTGTGCATAGTTGCATGATTGCGGCGCGACGTTGCGCAAACATCAGAATGTCTGGAACTTGGCCATTTGCAAGTGAAGGTCTGTTATATGGTGACTCTCTTCCCCTTCCAAACCACCGTAGGGGGAAAAGTTAACATAAGGCAACCAAGCCCTCCGGTTCATTCGGTGCTGATGGTAACATACTAAGGTGTGCGATGAATTGCCGTCTTCGATTGACCAATGACTCGAAATGATGGTTGCGTATCCTTCTCCGTTCATTCCCCATCGTAAATTTCAAACTTCACATGGCCCATTTTTGCAGACACAACCAATGCCCAATATTGATGATAATTATATAATATATATATATATATATATATATATATATATATATATATATATATATTATATATATATATATATATTTATTTATTTATTTATTTTTATTTTGTGCTAAGAGTGAGTGTGAATGTTGCATTTTATAGATCTTTTCTGTTGTTGTTTTTTCCACCTTTTCTTTTTCTTCGCTTTTATATTGGCTATCTATCTTATAACTTCACAAAAAAATAAGTGTTCATTATGTTGGCTGTTCATATGAAGGTCTACTGAAGCAAAAATAATATGGAAGAATTGGCTTTGAACTAGGAGTGGCTGACTTCTGTCATGATATTTCTGAGAAAAAAATACATCACACTTGTGAAAGACAAGTTCGTTGCATCTGTCCATAAACAAGAAGAAGTACCACCATCTAAACTGTGTTTTCTGGTATAGAATATTGTTAAGTTCTGATCCTTAGATTCCCCTGCTTTATTGACCAATGGGAATTGAATCGAAAGAAATGCTGATAATTGTTGAGAATGGAAATTGGTTACCTTCTTGCAAACACTACAGCTAATTTCTAGTATGTATACATGCATATTACTTAAGTGTCTAATGAATGTACCTTCTATATTTTGTATTACAATCTACTCTGCTTTTGTTATGCAATAAATAATTTATTTTTAATATTGCTTTTTGAAAACCAATACACAATACCGAAAGATATGCAGGATCTTGATTCAAATCCAAAATCACTGCAATTTCCATGTTTTCTTGAATCTCTGATATATGTAATGACAAATGAATTAGGAGGGAGAATTTTTAAATTTCCTTAGCAGCAAATTGGAATTCACAATTACTTGAGAAGGCACTAGTCAATTCCTATTTGTGGAAGCACTTTCATTTCATTTCATTTCTAGTGTCCCAATATGTGTGAAAGTTTCTAGTAATTCTTATTTTCGTTTGTTCTCTATTATGACATACAACATCTCATGGTGTTGTATCCACAAGGACTTGCTGTCAAGGGCTTGCTTCATCTTCTGTCCTTTCTTTTTCAGTACAAAGTCTTTATTTTCAAAAAACAAGTTTTCTGAATATACTTTCCATTAAGTTTGTATGTTGGTGCACAGGGTAAAATTAAACCACTTGGTTGCAATTTGTTATGTTATTCATGAAGTTATTTGACAATATATATTTATTTCAGAAATCAATATCTAAAATTTGCTTTTAGCCTTTTGTTCCTTAAAATAATGAGATAAAGTATAAAATTAGGTAAATGTACTTCGTACCTGTTGAATATAAAACAAACAAACAAACAAACAAATGTTTTCAAACATGAACTATTAGTGTGACATCCATGAATTGTGATTCCCAAGCATTACCATAATCTTGAATAGTTGCTTCTCCATTATTAGTCAATTTATATCTTTTAAAACTCTTGAAAGTGTTCTTAAGTCTGACACATCAAAATGCTAAAAATGTGCCAAAAAGTTTTCAATATTAAATACAACATTTTGATATGACATGCAAAAAATTGATTTCATTAAAATACTTTAAATTTCAAATTATTAGAAATTGTTAAGTTAATTATCACAGTCTTTAATAATAACAATACAATTATGATTATATTAGTTATAAAAACTAACATCTTATTTCCGTCAATAGTTTAATAAAATATCTATATGAATATCTGTCGATATTCCCAGTAATTTAAAGTGATGTATTTTTCAGACATATTAATGATTGTAATAGTGAAAATATTCCTTTGTTGAGAACTCTGTTTTAAGGGATTGCAAATATTCATTAAGAAACAATATCAGTGTATTCTTGAACTAATTCAAATGTGAAGCAAATTTCACATTCTATTATTTTCTTTTTCGGTTTGTGTTCTTGGAATAAAATGAAATTATGAAGAAAACTTATCTATGCAAATAAAAACAAAATATTTGTCATTCAACCAGAAAAGTTAATGATTTTGGATGATCTTCAACAATCTAACAGTTCCAAAGAGATAAAAATATAATTTTTCATATTTTTTACATCAATAACAGAAAGTTTACAGGACATCTCGCAGCAAAAGTTATGCTTACTTGGAGAGGCTGATTAAATTTTGTAAATAAACGAAATGAAAATAGTGAAAATTTAATTTTAATTTAAGATGTAAATGTTCTTATAAATTAGTTGTTTTCACAAATAGAGATACTCAAAACAGTTATTTTCCAGCCATTGTGTAAATAAAACACCTAAGTAACATCCTTCTGTCATATAATAATCACGTAAATAATTGAAAATGAGAAGCGATCATCCGTGGATAATATTTACTCATATAACAAAATAGCATTCCAACTGTTTGGGAGTCCTGGATGAATCGCAATTTTTTCTCCAGTAGTACACATAATTGAACCAGGAACAGCTATTATTCTGTGGCTGATGATGAGTATTTTGTAAAATAGTCTAAATTCAGACGTAATAGACTACAAAACATATTTTTGTGTGTTACAAGGGTATCAATAATAGGTTGTGAGATAAACTGAATCTATGATTACTTTTTATCTGTGAAGAGACTAAAAAAATTCTTGTAAGGAATTCTATGGAAAATATAATTGCCAATACAAGACAATAATTTCTCATGCTCATGAATTATATCGTTTCTTAATTATATTTACTATGACCCTCTCTCACATATTCTGTTAGTTGTTCTACAAAAGTAGATTAAACAAACATATTCCTGTTAATCATACAATATTCTCAAGACCTAATTTTATGTGGATTGCATGTACTTACAGAACAAGTAAAAAGGAATAATTATTAAAATTTCTTCTTTATTTTTTTTTTTTCTTTATTTTATTATTTTTATTTAATTTATAGTATATATATTATATATATATATATATTTATTATAATATATATTATATATATATATATATATAATATATATATATAATATATATAAAAAACATTCTGTAACAACGTTTAAAGTGTTAACTTATAGAATTTCATGAATAATGCTGCACTATTCAAGAAATTTTTTTTTACAACAAATATAGGGCTACTTACACCACCATTTTATTCTATAACCATTTTCCCCATTAAGCCAAAGCAGTGAAACTGAGAGCACAGTAAACAAGAAAGTGGTTAATACAATTTAAAATATTTCGTAATCAAATTAATTTATGCTCGCAATATTTTTACTCATTCTGTAGACAAGAAGACAAGTTCCTATTTTGTAGACCAAATACATTTATGTCTTGAAAATATGTTTACTTGTTCTGTAGACATGAAGGCGTTATTGTTAATGTAGGAATGAGGGTTCTTGACTTGCGTGCCTTGTTAATAACAAGTAAGTCTGCTGGATAAGTGACATGAGATTTTAAGAAGCTTGTACATGTAATTGAGTGTTTGAAGCCATTACTTATAAGTAACAAAATGAATGTGATGTCGGTGTAGTAATTCTTTGCTAAGATATTTTATTTTCAGTTCTCAATGTGAAGGAAAGACGAAACAATTTGAAATTCTAGTGAAATATGATTTAAATTCATTTTCCATCTTGATGTTGAAAAATTTTCTGAAACAGAAGCTGTATTATAATGATTATAAAATGGTTTACATATTTGAAGTAAATTAACTTACTTAAGTCCAAGCTTATCATTACTGCCATAAAGCAAATTTTGATGTTTAAAAGCACAAGAATGAAAATATGAGAACTGCCTGAGGCCTGCCTGAATTAGTTTTACTCTTTGTAACAAGTAATTTTCTCAGTATGCCAACCTGAAACTCCAAAATAATTTCTTGAAAGCAAGCCTAAATGTTTGAAACATTAACAATACCCAGCAATTTAGAGATAAAAAAATGTTTAAAGACATCTTGTAATACTCCTTTTGTTTCAGCAAGTTTGTTATAATTGAGAAACATTTTGTAAACAATTGGGTCATTGTATTCACAATAAATACTTTCTATTTAGTACAATATACCAAATAAACACTATTTCTGTTACCTCTTTATAAGAAATTTCACAACTGCATTTGTGCCTGGTCCACATCACCACTATTTATACATTTCATCATTATATATTCAGTCCTTTATCTCAGCTAATAATTACTCTTAACTAAAGCACAATGTTATAAATAAACTGATGTATTTACTTGAGGTTGAATAATAAAACAAAATTTTAATACATTTTGAAGTGACTAATTATTAAAAGTTTATTTCAACCTTTTACACTGCATGTAGTGGCGAGTGTGGTGAGATTTCAGAGGACATATGAAACAAAATTCAGAAATAAAACAAAACTAACAGACTAATCAAACATCATTTTGTTATACGAAAATAGAGACCAAATTAAGAACACATATTGTGATATCAAAACAAATACTCAAATATGGATTAGACGTTTGGACAATGACATGTAGGGATCAGCAAAGACTTGAGGTCATACTGAAGCAATTTTATGTAATTTTGCAGGAGTCTTGCTATGAGACACACACGGAAATAAAGATATTAGAAAAAGTCAATAGACAAAGAATGTAGAAGAGATGAAGGAAGGTCAGAAGAAATCTTTTTCTCACATTAACAGAATGAAGCAAAAAAGATTCCCAAAGATACCATTGAATTATAAATAAATGGGGAGACCTGGAAAAGCCACAAAAGAAACGGTTAGATCACGAATACTTTGAGAACTAAAAAGTCACCAAGTCTATTAGGAAACAGAAACAAATAATATCTAGCAACCCGCAAAATGATGATTATTCCTAAAGTGGGTGATCCTTACTGTGTCAGAACTACTCAGTGAAGAAAATGCGATATTTGAGGACAGAAAGATGAGAAAATGAATTAAAATAAGGGAGAAATGCATTAAAAAGCAGACTGAAACATGTTCCATTTTCAAGCAAGGTGATAACTGATATTTTTTGTAATTCTCATGAAACAAATCAGTTATAGTACAAAAATAAGTTATTTCTCAAAAGCATTTTGTTTTTTAGGTGTAAGATGGGTGGATGTAAGTCAATAAATTTTCTCACATTCCCCATTAATGAAAACACATTCACACTAATCAAGATTAGCATATATTTGTGACAAGGGATTGTCGAAGCACATTTTGGGAGTGATGGACAGTACCCAGAGTTCTTTCAACGTTGTTGTTTTTTTTTTCATTTTAAATATATTTTTCAGTCAAGTGTCATCATATTTTTTTGTAACATAGTGCTTTCAAATCTATATATTAAGAATAAGTGTGATAAGTTTTGATACTTACTCTGATTCTGTTTTAAGGCCTGTAGTTTAATGTTAAGTATAGAGAATTATTAATTCCCTAAAATTAAACATTGGTTTCAAATTCAAGGAGCTGCGACATCAGTCAGATTGACTGGGGTATATCAATTTTGGTGAAAACCCTACATATGGATTAGCCCCCGGTGTTGTTCACAGATACAAAGATGGATGTTTTATCATATACCAATTTTTCGGTATCAAGGACCCACAAAACATGGATTCTGCTTACACAATACTGATTGATTAGTGATTTGGATACTAAATCAATTTATAGGAATGTTCACGATCCTTAGGATCAAATAAAGATAGATTAGTTATAATTTTCAATTTGTTGATTTGGTTTCAAATTTCAATTGTTTATGGGATAATGTTGGTTGAATTAAGAAGTAATTTCATATTATCACTATAATGAATATAAGAGAAAATATTATTAAAAATAATCGTATAGTTGGAGAATCAACAGCAAAGATCATTAATCCCATAAGTGCAGTGCACATTTTTTATCACGTGTGATGGCAGTTCCCTCCTTAGCTGGCGAGATTCGGAGCCGACCAAGCTCAGCATGCAAGAATATTCCCCAACTAGGTATCTCCCACCAGCAGAGCACTGCTCCAGCCAGGAGAAGCCAGGAGAAGTTTTAAACAGTGTCATTTAAAGGTCACAGCTGGAAGGAGGGGGGTCATTGCCATCCAATCGCGAGCTCCAATATCAAAAATTGAGCTTGTGATATGCCACTGTTAAAAATTGAAGTCGTAACTAAGCTCCTGATTGCATGCCAGTGATTGACTGCCGTCTAGAATCAGCTTGTGATATGCCACTGTTAAAAATTTGTATATAAGCTCCCAACAAGTGTGGTAGCATAGATTAACATGGATTATAGGATTTATCCACTTTTACATTCCCATGAGATTTTCATCAAGAGATTTTCTGGAGAAATTGGCCATTTTTCAGCACATTATTACACTTTCTCTTCTTACAAAGAGTGAGAAAGTAAAAATAGAGCCACCATTGCAGTTAATAATGAAAGTATTCGCCTACCCTATCATTTTTCAACTTTACTGCATTTGACACTTTCCCCTGAAAAGTTTTAAAAAGGAGTTTCACTGCCATCTTGAAATCACTTTCTGCCCATGCTTTATGGAAATAATGCTTTGGAATGTAATGGTATCAGTGAGACAATTGTTTCGATCAATTGAAGAAAATTACAACAAAAACAAATGCATTAAGGTAGCAAATGTCCCTTTCTCAGGAACAGATGGTCTTCAGTAAATCTGATCTCTTGCTAGTGAGAAAAATATATGGTTCCATTTAAAAAATAAAAGATTAAATTTTCCAAAAAGTAAAAATATTTCACACAATATCTCTACACCATGTTATTTGCCCCACGATTCAGCATTGTTGAGCAAAAACTGTAAATAGGGGCAAAATTTATCCACAAGGACCCAGCAATAAGAGTTTTCAGTTGAAAATCTGCCATTTTTCCCTACAGCATACAATACTTTCTCTATTTTGTGTAATGAATAGCTTGAAAGTGAAAGTAAATAACATCTGCAACTCCCAAATGGTGATCTTTTAAAATCTAGTTTCATACACATGTTTTGGTGTTACATAAAATTTATACATTTAGATTTATTGAAAATACTTCAATCTATCAGACACAATTAGCTATAAAACTAGCAATGAAGAAATTAGAGTGGGTGTTGTAGTATATAGAAAATGTAACAATATTGAGCTTCCAGGCTGTGTCTTACAGTTTTCTTACTATTCAAAAAAAGATGTTAACCACCACAGAACCCATCAAGAAACATCTAGGAGGCAATTCCTCACTGCACACTACTTGAAACTGCGAACTCACATGAAGAGTGGCAGAACAATGAAAAGGTTGTGCAATCCCTATTTGGGGATCAATGTACTTAATGGGTTAATATTATTATTCAAAGTAAAAATTCCAATATAATATTAATAGGACTTTATTACAGAAAGAAAAGAACATTCACATGTATTTAAACTCTAAGAAGTGTATTGGCATACTGAAATTCAGGACTATTTTCATAATCACACATATCTAATGCAATCTCACAGCTTTCTTTCACAACACGTTTTTCATCTTCTAAAAAGTTCTTTAGTATAGTGCAACAGTCTTCAGTAGCAATAGCACCTAGTGCTTCAGCACATTCATGTCGTACCATTTCATTCTCAGAGGGATCTTCCAAAGATTTTTTTAAATAGGGGACACTAACTTCATTCTGCATTTGTCCCAGCACAAATGCAACTTCATGACGAAAAAGAGCACTACCTTTTGAGAAAAGACCTGCAACCATTAAGATAAAATAATAAATTATTATTATTATTATTATTATTATTACACAAAACATGATACACATCAAATTTTCTTATGAGTTCTTACAACAATTACTACTTATTACAAGACAACAGATTTTTCGGTAAATGTGTATTTTATTGATTTAACAGTCATTGAAAATGAAATACAAAAACTTTAAATCACTACAAGACATGACAAAAACTACATCTGTAGTGAATTGAAAATGCCTTCATTGGTTAATAATTTTTTAAAAATTAACTTTCTATTTGAAAGCTTATTTCATAATCTAATAATGCAAGGAGAAAGAATTCTATTATATGCTCAGAACATCAATGTTTCTTGCTTCTTATTACTATTATTTTAAAGCACAATCCAGCTTGTGTAATCCCCAAATGTAAATATTAAAGAGGTGAGAGACTTTAAAAAAATTCTATTTATATAATCTTTGCAAAATAAAAAACTGCATTTATGTTATAATATTCAATCCATTTAGTCTGTACTAAGAGTTCAAAACAAAATTTAGATATATTTTAGAGAAACAAAATTTCTATTTTTGACATTGGAATTGTAGGAAGACACTGAAAAATTTGAAACTTTTGCAATTTTTAAAAATTCTGTGAATTTACTGAAATTTGTTCTTTTACCATTTTTATACATGTACTTTGTTCTACACGATAAATAAAAATTTTAATAAAAATCATAGTGCCATTCTTGAGGAAAAAAAAAAACAACTTTGATACTTTATGTGAAGTACCCCCCAAAATTACAATATGTTTTCCGAATTGAAGGGGCTGTGACACGAGCTAGATCAATAAAGGAATATCAATTTCAATTAAAATCCTCGTTGTAACATATGGTTTAGCTGGTTGTGTTGTTCACAGACAGACACATTTTTCTGTAAATCAATTTCCCAGTACCAAGGATTCACAAAACTGATTCTAATATTTACTTCATATCAGGGATCTACAACATTAATTTTATTGCCAAAAAATCATCATTTCTCATTGGATCATTAAATTTTTTTCTACACTGCATATGTAGTGTGCAAGAAAGTAAAAATATTAAGCTTAAAAATATTTAATGAAAATAATTAATATGAAGTATTTTTACCTACATGAAATTTCACTTCAAGAGAGACTATAAATTGAATCTGTCGCAACTGTCAAGTGAGTACATTATTCTGCACAATTAATTACTTAATTCTAATTAATTTTCACATTTGTAACTTGTTAGGTTTATTGCAGAACAATGGAAAACAACTTTTAAATTAAAAAAAAACTTTAATGCTAAGTCATGCAGTTTCATGGCAAAAGCTACTTTTGGCAATGATTTTCAGAATTTTGTGTGTGACCAAAGAAATTGCACAAGAAACTACAGATGCTGCAACAGAACATATTTTGCCCCACGATTGAAAATAATTACTTAATATTAAAATATTGTTATTTCTGCCATTCTAAAAATTCATAACTTGAAAAAGTCTACATCAAACAATTCACCTTTCACACTTATCTTCGTGGTAATGGAAATAAATGCAGAGTAGTCATTTCTTACTTTTAGAAATCAAACGAACATGAATTATAATAAGTATTTACAGAAGATCATACAGAAAAGCAAGAATCATTTTACACAAGCCTACTTTAATAACATTTGAATTGAGCGTTCAATTTTTTAATAATATAACGAAGGTAATAAATAAATATAATTGTTTTATAAAAACGATTAAAACATCTTAAAAGTATAGAAGTGTGTTTCTTAGTTTTAAGTTGGAATTTATTACCTTCCTTAATTATTTCCTTTCATAAAAATATTATCTGCATCATGACCAATGACAATGGGATGAATTCGAAGAATTTTGAAACCTCTATGTTGCTATTTTCCAAACTGACAACGTCTGAAACTAAGCGTGCAAAATTCGAATTGACAATTCCGAACTCTTTTTGCAATTTCCAAACATGCAGAGTAAGCTGAACAGACAATCACTACAGTTCTTTGCTACATACGAGGATAAAAATGAAAGACAACCTTTGAAGCTGTTTCTCAGAGAATTGTTTAAAATTATTTTAAAAGTTCATCTTCATTTACAAAAAATTACTCATATTTTTGAAATATTGAACACAACCTCTTTTGAAGAACTGTTTTTAATTATCAAAATTCATTAAGAAAAATCTTCAAAATTGTAGTGGTCGAAAGATGTTAAAATTGTTTTTGAATTATTGCAACTGGCACCATTCTCTCAAATGTCCTTCACACTATGACAGCTATTTTTTGCAAATGTCCCAGGGGATTGACAAAAAGTAGCCCAAAAAATTTAAATACTGGTTTCAAATTCAAGGGGCCACGACATCACCCAGATCAATTGAGAAATATCAATTTTGGAGAAAATCGACTAACCGGTTTAACCGCTAGTGTTGCTCACAGATGGACAGTTAGACATTTTGTCGTCATTCGCTTCTTCAGTATCATGGGCCAACAAAACAGATACTGGCTACACCACATGTTAGAGGATTTCCTCTCTCTATATTTCTCAACAGCATTTATCCACTTTTTCAGTACCAGGACCTGGCAATAAGGAGTTTTCTTTCCAAAATTAATGGTTTTCCCCCACCGAATTATATAACTTTACCTTCTTAAGGGCAAGAAAGTAAAAAATGTGTGAAAATGTACTTCTGCAATTGTGAATAATAATATCACAGACTATTTCAAAGAATATTACCTTTAGAAAGAGCACAAGCACTCTCTGCGGTCTGCAAATTTCTTAAAGCAAACATAGCTTTGTAGCGATTGAAGAGACTTGCTTTCTCATCAAGAAGAACCTTTTCAAGCATCTCCACATCACTCTCTTCTGCAGGAGGAGTAGGATCAACAGAAGCATATGGCGATTTACGTTCAGTATCTTTATGTTCATTATTGTGCCATTTGATTCGCTCTATTGCAAGTTCACAAGTCTCAGCTACTTCAGGAACAGGGTCATCAAGATGTTTCAGCAAAACATCCAAGGATTCTTCTGATCCAATAGCACCCAGAGCTTCAGCTGCAATAAACATTGGAACAAGATTCAATCTTGACGCCTCTAAAATTTACATGACCTGAAGCCACTATTTATCCAAACATAAGGCAAGGAGTTTCCCGAAATATTTTGTTCAAAAACTATGAGATCATCTTACTTTCTCATTTTACACCTAATCTGTTTTCACATTGTTTTTCCCATGCTGAGAAACTAGAAGTGATGACACAACACTCTTCAATGATAAAAAATTATGTGTATCACACCTAATATTTGCGGAAGTATTCTTTTCATCCACTGAATATTTTTTGGGCACTTCAGACCAATATTTTTAAATAAGTTGGTAAAGTGGGCATCTTGAAAGAATGGCATTGTAGAAAATGGAACTCAATGAGAAAATTTCAAAATTGTGGCAGAGACTGTTTAGTAAGATGTCAGAATATGCAGTTCACAATGGTTAGAGGTCATTAGGTCTATGAGTATTAGATCTTTTTTTTATGTCTAATAGCAGAAATCCACAAAAAACATGTCTAATAAAGACTTGCCCTAAAAATGTCTAATAAAATTTGGTCCAACACACACTAAGGTCCGTTCAATTTTTATCTAACATATGGAATATATAACAGCTGACCACATTAGCACCAAGCCAGAATATTGTGTCTATGCTGAAACCACAATAGGCTTTAATTCACAAAATACATGTCATAAGTAAGAAAAAGATGCTGAAATAAGTCTTCACTGTCACTTATTGACAGAGGCTAGAATTTTAATCTGTAGTTCAAAGAATGCACGCATTATCAATATCCCCACAATCTTTATAAATTTTGATAAGATGCATCCAACTGCTCACTTGCCTTTGATTAATTTGGTAGAACTTAGTATACAGTCCATTGTACATGCACCACCAAAAACAGCATGACAAGGACTTCGTTATTCCAATGACAGTTTTTATTTAAAACTGTTCCAAATATTTCCTTGTATAGCCATGATGAGCAACCATAATTTCCTGAAACTTTAAATTCAGCCTGATATACCTGTTAAACCTGGATTGTCTCATTGGACTTTCTAATTTTAGACACCTTGTGCTTTTGGACCTTCTGTCATATTAGATTTTGACAGAGAAAGAAGTAGTGGATAGAGAAGGCTGGAAAAGAACCGAGAAACATAGCCAGATGTAAATCAGAGTCACATTAGATCTACTGAGCAATAGACCTCCTGATACATTGGTCTTAAAGATTATCAGACCAGACCATGGACCAAACAACATTAAATATTCACAACTAAATCATGTAAAAATTAAACAAGAATGTTGAGTTAAAGAGTCTTTAAGGCAGCAGAAGCCACAAACAAGAGGAAACAAAAGTATTACAAAAGGGAATGTTCATAGGTGGTGTCAGATGAATGTTAATTCAAAACAGAAAACTTCCAGGGGGATATTAGGAAGTCAGTCAGTCAATACGTTATTACAATGTAAAACAAGACAACTGAAGTTGTCTCTTTGAAGTGAACTGTGGATCACAATGGGATTAAATTATCAGCCTTCTTTATTAAATCACCATTTACATTACATACACATTACTGCAAAATCATACAGACTCCCACGAAAACTGTACTTCACGCAAATGACATTTAATAACTCATTTAAAATGATGTGAGATGTTCTAAAGAATACCAAAACTAATTATCAGTGTATCATTGATAAGCTTTAGTTGGAAAAATGATAACAGTGGCTGATCCTAACAATAAATTAATACAGTAATCATGGATTTTAAAAAGTTCAAACCATGAAACAAACATAACATCAATACATTGCCATTCCTATTGAATTATCAGTGGGCTAAGAATGTTCATGTTTTTGCTTCCATACCTGAACATTGTCTCATGCAATTAAAATATGATATATCTTAATACTTATATACTCCTTTTTAAATCGATTCCATTATAAATGTGTACTGACATGTTAGTATACATTCTTCTTTAATAAGTCATCCTTGTATTTAAGAGTAATGGCCTGATACATGCACTTGTCATCACTTTACAATACATTATACACAAATAGTTGCATTTAACACACGAAACGTAAACACTAAAAAAAGGAAAAAAGCTTTATAAAAATGAAAATATGCAATACCTGCTTCATGCCTAACCATGGGTTCTTGAGATGTATCCTTCAATACTGATGTAAGAACAGGAATGGCTGCTTGATCACCCATTTGTCCCAAACAATAAGCTAATTCGTGTTTCAAGAGGGCCGATGAATCGTCGAAACACTGTTCTATACATTTAACTGACACTGGTCCACCAAGATTACGTAACGTGAACAACGCTCGAAACCTTTCCTTCAATGGTCTATTTGTGTTCTTCAATACGCTACCGATTGCCAATATTTTCTCTTCGGGAATTGTATCCATTTTTGTAACAAATAACACACAATATAACAATTTAAAAGTCTTCGGCAGCTACACGTGGCAGACACGTTCTCAGACTTTTCAGAAAACTAATCGCGTTATCGACCTGCCTAAAACAAATGAAAGTAGTCCTGCACTTCCGTAGCCAATCATGAAGCAAGAAAATAATGTACACGTGAACGAGAAAAATGTTTAATTAATCGTTATCTTCTTCTTCTTCATCCTCCTGACTGTTAATCTGGAAATATCTTAGCTCGTATGTATCTTTTCCACTTGCAACAACTCGTAGCCAATCTCGAAGACTGTTCTTCTTTAAATATTTTTTGGTCAAGTACTTCAAATACCTCTTAGAAAAGGGAACATCTGAACTTACAGATAATTTTGTCTTGTTTCGTTCCAGCGTGATGGTATTGCCGAAATTATTTGTCTTGCCACTTACTTTTATACGTTCTTGCAGATACTTTTCAAAATTCGCCACATCCATCAAATTATCTTCAACAGGATGTGTACAATCCACAGTGAATTTCAAAGTAACTTTTTTCTTCTTTTGACCTTTTCCACGGATATGTTGCTTATTCTTATTAGATTGGCCACCTTTTTTACCTGCAACTGCCATTTCGAATTTCAACGTGCAAAAATCCTCTTGTATACGTTTTACTCACGGCGCTTCAACGTCGACCCACCATCCACGTTGAATCCCGGCCGGTTGCCCACCTCAGCCAATCACCGCTAGATGAAAACCTGACCCTTTCAGCATCTGCCAGAAACATTGATATTTTTCACAGAATAATCATTGTAGTTAGATATTATACGGATACAATTCTTTGGGCCCTGCATGCATGCAATACTGCATGAATATTAATACACCCTACTGGTTTACTAATACTAGTTACTTGCTTAACTATTTGCTTGTTTCGTTAATTTTGAATAAATTGTAGTAACGAGGGTTGTTGACAAATTTGATGATAATAACTGTTCGCTCTCGGGTAATATAAAATATTTTGTGTAGAAAACTAGCAAAAGATACGTTTTCGTCGAAATAACCAATAGCATCTAGCGAAGTAGAGACCTCAAGAACAAGCGTAAGCATGGGAATCCATATTTCTTTGATAATAAAAATAATAATATGTCACAAATTCAGCATAAACCATGTTAAACACAAACATAATCATAGAATACATACATAATACATAGATATAATATATACACGGTATAAAACTATGTTATAATATTATACCGATCTCTTTACTTATACGGGTCTACGGTCTGTGCATGGTGGAAATATCCACCATGGGTCTATGGAGATTGCCAGGAAGAATATAATGTGTAAATACTCCTCCATGCTATAAGCGTGGCAACAAGTTAGAATATACGAGCTAGAATGTACTAGCATATATTCTTATATGGCGGGTATGCATTGTAGAAGGCGATAAGTCAAGTTTTTGTATAAAATGAATATTATTTTATTACAGTACTATCATCATTCTAGCTCGTTGCCAACGAGTCATTGGATCATGGCCCAGAGAGTGTATAACGCACGGCCAGAAAAGAAACATATATTTTATTCTTTGCAGCTAAGAGTACAAGAAAGTAAAAACTATTCTTTCATAGAATAAGTACTACCGTGCAACCAGTGCCATCTAGTGACACGGCAACTCTTCTGCGGTTCGATTGTCAATTGTTAAGTGCTGATTGTGTCTGTTGGTCCCGGTATATCTGTCGTGAGTTTTTATATATAATTCTGTGTTCTTTCAGTAAAATTAGGAGAAAGAAATATTTTTAAATCGGGAAGGTACGTCTCTGGGTATCAGTTCTACATTGCGATGTAGTATTCTTAATTTCCGGTTTTTACTGTGACTTATTTCTTGAAGGTTATATTCCAATATGTAATGTTTTATAATTTTTACAGGTTGTCCAGGTCAAAGAGAGAGTTGGTATCGTGCAACGCAGAACTCCTACGTGCTTTAATTATGCCCAAATATTATTGTGATTATTGTGATACTTATCTTACTCATGATTCTCCCTCTGTGAGGAAGACTCACTGTCAGGGCCGAAAGCACAAAGACAATGTTAAATTTTATTATCAAAAATGGATGGAAGAACAAGCTCAGCACCTAATTGATGCTACCACAGCTGCCTTTAAAGCTGGTAAAATTGCATCGAACCCCTTTGCATCTAGTAAAGGTGGCACAGCTATTCCACCGCCCACAAACATGCCTCATGGTGGCCCTCCAAGACCACCTGGTCCTGTGCATGGGCCTCCACAGCCGGGACCAGGAATGATGGGACCTCCTGGTATGCATCATGGTCCTATGGGTCCCATGATGATGGGCCCCCATGGGCCTATGCCTCCTATGATGGGAATGCGACCTCCTATGATGGGACCTATGATGCCTATGGGACCAATGGGGCCTATGGGACCTATGAGGGGACCTCCACTCTTAGGAGGTCCAATGGGACCTCCTATGAAAAAGTAGACCATCAGTTTGTTCAAGATGATTTAAAGAAGAAAAGTGGTACGACCTTGTGGTTGGTGTTGTATTCTTTCATCGGTTTTATGAATTTCATATTAAAGAGTATTAGTGATGTAATTGATTTATCAGACTAAGATGGACAAGTGTTTAAATACTTTTATATTGTATTATAATTAAGATGTGTAAGAAATAAATATTTTGAAAATGGTAAGTGTTGTATTCTTTGACCTTATTGTTCTTACAAAAATGTCTTTCTCACATGAACATTAATTAATTATTAAATTTAATTATTATTTTGAAACGGGACAAATATGTTTGGAATCTTTAAATGAAAACAGAGTTTCTGGACTAGATTTGATAGATTTTTGGCAGACTCCTGAGACACTACAATATCGAGATCTTGTAAACAATTTTAGGGAAAAAATGATTTACCAATGCCTTGCCAGTAATTTATGATGCAGGACATGAAAATTAAATTTTATTCACGATTGAAAGTATTTACTGATTTTCTAGAATATTGTAGAGCATTAACCATAACCATTTTGCAAACAAGTGAGAATGTTTACATTAATTTTCAAATTTATTATTGGTTACCATTATTTTTTAATGAAATTATTGTAAACTGCTCTGTTTATTTTCAGAAGTTGTAATTTTATTGACATTGATGGTAATTCATTTTCAATTTTTAAATAAGTACCAGTGTAGGTCATGAATTATAATACCTGGATAAGTAATGTGCATATTTTCTTGAGCACTGGAGTATCTAACCCTACTCTTACCAACAGTACTTGAATTAAGGAATGAGTGTTGTTCACAAAGCCTCATAACCAGAAATATTCACCTGTGTGTCGTAGAAACTATTTATGTTGAAAACCCAGTTACAGATTAGATATAATCCGGTCATCAAGATCTTGCGTCTAGCCAAATGGGAGCTCAAGAAAACGTGTGCGGATAGTACCTAATTATCGTAATTTATGCTTTACAGAGAGTTTGCATCTTTCATTATTTTAATGAGATTAAATTACATTTAAAAAATGTTTGTTTTGATGGTGTGCTTCAGGCCTTTGGGCCTGACCACCAATTGTCTTCACGTGAGATTGTTATTCAGAGGACATAAGTATAATTGAAAAATTATGGACTAAACAATATGCTAGAAATTATATAAAATTTGTATCTTGAACTTGTAAGCATTCGATTAAATTATGGGAGAATGCTTTTTAATGTAAGATCAATACAAGTGTTGAATTCTAGTATGCAAAGAAGTTTAAATTGCATCAATCTTTCTTGAAGTTATAGTAACTTACATTGATTGCATCTGGATGACTGAAATCTGAGGAAAAGATGTTAAAGACAAATCATTTTGTAAAATATTATTTATTTTTCTGTTGTCATTAAATTAAGTATAACCTTGATTGATTGGTCCCTTCACACGTTATGATTACAGAATACAATATTGTAATTAAAAAGCATTGTTTGTGAAGATTTCAGTCCCCTCACATACAAGTGAAATTTTTATATAGAAGCAATGTGCCATGAAATAATACTGAAATATATCTGCATTAAGTGGTCATTTTCAATTTGCTGGTATGTGAGATACTGTTTGCAAGAAGAGAATCAACTCATCTACCATATAATTCCCATTTAGACAGACATTTTTTTAATAACTTTTCTTTAATATACACAGTACATTTTAAAATTGAATATGCAAGGCAATTTACTTTTGCAATAAATTAATTCTGCTTAAATTGCGTAGGTAATGTACATGAGAGTTACATATCAGGTTCAGGGAGTTACGAAATTGTTCCCTTTACAGCATTTGTGTTATTAGAAGAATGGCACAAAGTTCATATAAATAGAATTAATGTGTAGAAAAATGATGTTTTACATCAAACTGTACATAAATTAAAATTTCATGTTGCATCATGTGAATAGATTTTTTCATACTTTGCATGTACACAGGATAAATATACATAATATACAGTGAGAATTTTCTGAAACCCTTCACGTTCTTGAATGTTTTATTATTTGTTTCCATAGGAGAAAACTGACATTATCTTTTCTACACTTTTTATAATAAGTGCAATTAGTATTTGATTGGAAGTGGACTAGACTACACTTATGCAATACTGTTTTATTTATTTTGGGCGGAAGAGAGAATGTAACTTCTAGTTACATCTCAAATCAATACATATGCTTCTTACAGAGGGTATCAGGATCTACAAAAAACTGATCTCTCCTAAACATTGCAGTAGCTAAATTTCTATTTGCATCTGATGCTTGTAAGTGTGCTTTATGATTATTTGAATTATTAACAAATAAATAGATAATATATTATAGTGCTGCTAATATACATAACACTTTCAATTGATATCACATACTACATTATCTGGTTTTCTCCAATTTAGTACACAAGTGTCCTTGTATTAAATATCATTTTTAGTATTTGAAATAAGTTGAAGTTTTTCTTAGGGAAGATATTAATTTATAATTTAGACTGAAAACAATTCAACATGAATCAATAGGTTGTCAAAATAATGCATGATTTAAAAAAATGTCTACATTATATTCACACCAAAATCCTTTCTTCACAAAGCTGTTTCCAGAGTTGCTCGTGATGGACTCTTTCTTTCAATTTGGGCGAGAATGGACCTAGCCGGGGAGCCACGGGAATTGTATGAGTTTTGCTTCTGCTTCTCTACTGATATTTGTACTCTGGAAGCAGATGGTGATGTAATGATTGTCTCTTTATTGCTGAAACTGTTTTGTTGCTGCATGAACAATTGACGAGCCCTCATGTTGGCTAATTGAGATTCAGGTAAAGAATGTGAATTTATTTTATATGGAGAACTGAATTGTTGTGAATTTGGTTTATTGGTATCTACATTTTCTTTTACGTTTGATGGTGACAAAGGTGCTGAAGATACAGTGCTCTTATTTGTTACATGTGTTCTGTAATGTACACTATTCCCAAATGTCTCTCCTGGGGTTTTAGAAGAGAGATTTGAGGGTGTTTTCTTACCAGAAAATGTCAATGGTGTGTGAGAAGTGTTGAGTGTTTCTGTCTTTCTAAATACATCCATGTGATCTGTTATTCGATTATCAGATATAGTTAATCCAGCATCTTTACTTAACATATTTCTATGGCTACTCTGTGCAGTCATTGTTAAGCTTTTAGATTGCCCATCATTTTCTTCTTGTGAGCAAGATGCCTTCTCTTCCTCAGCACAATCTTCTAATATTGTCGAGGAGAGAATGTCTGTTCTTGGTGATGCAAACCGCCATGCAGCAGCTGAGCGAGGTGAAGGTAATAATTTAGGTCCATTGTAACGTTTATCAGAGGGGCTTAAAGGTAGATATCCACCATTTATAGTATTACCATTTTGAGGCATATTTCTTTGTTGTCGGGACATTCTTAGTTGTTCCACTGCTGACAGCTTTCCTCTGTATGCCCCGAGTCCATTTGATTTTGAACCATGTTGGAGTAGTAATCGTTTGAAATCATTTCTTGATGTTGGTTGCAAAGGACCTAATCTATCACTAGCTCTGCTTTGCTTTGAATCAGCAGGATAAAAATGGGAGTTCAGTTGATAGGTCTGGAACTCGAAACTTTGTTTGGCATTCGGTGACCAGCTATGCCTATTTCGACTGGTATTTTCAATACCAATTTCATTGCTGCCCACACTTCTTGTTCCATTTATTGATGATTCTGAACTGCCAGGAGAAAGACTATTTACAGATGAAGAAGAAGGTGAACCACTTCTATAGTAGCTGTCAAAGTCGTCTTTAATATTCAATTTTTTTTTGGACTTGTGAATTGCTGCAAATAATTCTTCAGCTGTCATTGAAGATTTGGCCTGCAATGATCCAGGTATATTTCCTGAGTTTCCGCCATTATCATGTTGTTCCAACTGGTTGACTGTTGGCTGCAAAACATGCCCATTTTTAACAGACTCATGATGAGTATTATATTCACATTTTTGAATGGGAGATAATACAGTGCTCATTTCCATGAGCGAATCTCTTCTCCCATTTTTTGTGGGTGTTGATGAATGAACAGTATCATGTTGCCTACTGTTTTGTTTTCTATGTGAGAAGGGACTGCAACTATCAGGCACTGATGGAATTGTTGCTGGAGTTGGAAATTTGGTGTGTTTATTAGAGAAGGTGTTTTCTTCTGGATAGTTCTGCTTAGCAGAATATGAATAGTACATTGGAGCCTTTTGACTAGTATAGTAAGCACCATGTCTGGTAACATTGTGGTACTCTTTTTGCATGTGGTTCATGTTGAATTCATCACAATTGTTTGATGCTGAAGAATTGGGAAATGTGGGATGTACATTTTGTTTTGTGTGTTTTTGAACTGAAATTCCATTATATTGTTGATCTAATTGATGGGTCCTTGGTAATTTTAATTGCTCTTTAAAACCAAAAGCAAAGTTTTCCCTCAAGTTCGTTTCTTGTCTCACTGGAGGAGGTTCCACATACTGTGGAGGATGGGCATGAAGTGCAGATTTCCCTGTTAAACAGAAATAGCACATGCAAATGAAATTGATTGTCAGCAAATTAAAAGAGAATGGAATCTATATAGTTTGAAAATTCAGGCATTTTTTGTGTCATGATATAATTTTTGAAAGACATAATTTCAATTTAGAAACATTGCAAATTCAAAGAACTTTTAAACTTGACAATGTAATAAAAGAATACATTTTTAATCAAAGAAATGAGCTATAGAAATGGTAGATTATGCAGAAATTAATTAATTGTGATGGATTAATTGAGCTTTGCCAATTTCTTAATGCTGGTATGGAATACTACGCTATTTCACTGGTTGGTGATAATGGTAATTATTATAATATTATTAATCATTTATTTATGGAAATATACTTAAGTATCTCTAATTTATTAAATGAAAATTTAGGATAATAAGAGAATGTCAATTCATCTCTTTTGAATGCTCAATCTGAATGCAGTGATAGTGTTTAAATTTAAAATCGACAAACTTATGATGAATGCTAAAGGCAGCAAACTTAATTTTATTTTTATTTCATTCTATTATCCTTTAGTCACTTTTTTGTTGAAAACACCATTGTGTTTGCTTGAGTAACAAATTAAAGGTGTTCATTCGTTTGATTTCAATGTATAACTTTTAACTAAACTCTGCCCATTTCAAAAAGGTCTGTTTGGGTTTTTATTTTTGTTTTTTTGTTCTAAGAGATGTTTGGCACAGAATATATGGTAATGCACTTGGTCGTAACAATCATGCTCTGTACTATGCTTCAACTACTGGGTGCAGCTATGCATTAACTAACACTTTCACACATACTATCTGTGCTTCATGTGCATATTACTATTCTAAGTGCAGACAAAACATAAAACACATAATTTGATCTTAAACAAAAATGCAAATATTTCTACCTTTTGTCACATCTAATTTATACTAACATTTTTGTACAAGAAGTAAAATTATTACACTTGGTAACAAAACATTAAAATATCTACTATTGGGGATTTACAAAAACACTACTTAACAGCCAATGAGGTTAAAATAATCTGTTAATAACACATTATGTATGTTCATCTCATTCCTAAGAAGCACCCATGTAATAGCAATCTCAAAAAAAGATTGTGTTTTATTATCTGGTAATAATTTCATCATTGTAACAGAAAAAATAAATAACAGGAAATGAAGAAGATGTACATCAACTGAGGATGAAGATTTTGAGTCATAAGTGGTAACATTCATGCAGCTTGATATGCTCTATGACTCCACAAAGGAAATCCTGTTTACCCTATAGATATTAATGTGTTATTTAACAGAATGTATCATCATCTATATGTACATAATATAAGGATGTAAATAATTTAAGGATCTGTAGTGAATGAAGCTGCACAACTTCTTCCTAACTAATCTTAACCTGAAAAGTAAGACTGTGAGATTCTGTGAGGAAGAAGGTATAAAAGTACAGAACCAAAAATCATGGAAAAAATACAGAGAAGGATGGTTCACTGAAGAGTATTGCAATGAAAATTGCTCCATAATTTTGTAAACAAGACTTCATATATTTACACATAAATATTTCTCATATGGTATAAGATTTGTCATACAAACATTTACTTGCTGCTCTCATTAAAATTGTGTATAATTAATGAAAATTAAACAGACTTACTAGTACCTCTCATTCTTACTACAAAAATAGAATAAATATAATACAAAATTACATACAAGTTATGCAAAACTTTAACTTCTAAGTCATAAAATATAAACTTGACAGAAGACATGTATTTCAAGTAAAAATTAATGTAAAGGTTTAGAAGATCTTATAAAAATTACACAAGTAGATGAAGATATTCAACATTCAAAATTGTACACAATAGCTAAGAATTATTGCAGTTCCAATATCTGTTCTTTTTGACATTTCTGTAATTTTCTGGTAGTCACTAAAATTTTATATCACACATATTTTGCATATCTTGAATAATCAAAAGCAAAATATGTTAAAGCAGTAATGAAGTGTATGTATTGTATTATAATACTTTTGTAATGTAAAATATCAAACAACCACAATGCAATTTTAAAAATTTCTTAACTTTCATTTGAAGTCTAGCTCTTATATGGAAAATCCACAGAAAAAAATATTTTATTTGTAACAGTGACACCTAGAGTATAATTTAGCATTAAATGAACCTCTAGTACAGATAAGTGAGAAATGCCAAACAAGCTAGCCTCTACTGTCCTCAAAAATATTCACACAGTATTTACATCCAACATAAGGCACTAGATTGTTTATGAATCATGTCTTCTACAAAGGTAACTTTTCAAACAATTCTCTTAAAACCTATTCACTACCTTAATTATAATTAGTTTGGAATGTGACGTTTCACAATTCATGTATATGATTAGAAAAATTTGTATTACAATTTTCAAATTGAGTGGAATATGTATTTATGAAAATTTTATTTTTAACCAAAAAAAAAAGAAAAAAGGTGCAGTACCATTTATCATCTCATCACATTTCAATCGTTGATTGATCATCAATGCATGGAGAGAGAGTGATTTCTGTCTTATAAAAATATTTGATAATGCAATCTATATGTTCAAAAAATTACAAACATTATATGTACAGATCTTTGCTAATGCAAATTCATGAAGATCTTTTGTGTCTGTTACACAAATAAATAAGCAACAGAACAAAGATTGAACACAGTCATCCACTTTGTAAAACAATCAACTTCATACCTCCTTAAAATACATGTTTCTTCTAGGCACCTTGGAACAATAGCACATAATATATAATATGTAAATTATGAAAAAATAATAAAAATTAACATTTGTTATGCCATCAGTAGTAAAGAAAAAATGTAAGTTAAGAGGAGACTCAAAATTAAAGTTTATAAAGAAAGTTATTTTAAGTTAAAAAGAAAAGTTATTGAAGAAAATTATAGTGGATAGGGGAATATTCTTTCTTTGTTGAGAACTACTTACTGCTGCAGTAAACCAATGAGAACTATACTGTTTTGTAGCTCTTCTAAGCAGAATGAAAAGTGAAATGCCAATTTGACGTAATAAGCCTTTAACATTGATTTGTAAGCAGTTAAAGGCAGTTACAAGCTATGTAACTATTTTTGTTCCAACAATAAAGCATAAAACAATCTGCATAAACATGTACGCAACATACACTATAAAATACTAATTCATAAAGTTGCTCAATAAAAAAAAACAACTAAAACTACATTAGACAGCACAATCTTTGCTAGCTGACTGATAAGTTTATTCACATGCATATTCATTGCATTTCATATTCATGCAGAATACATTTATAGAATTCTATAATTTCAACATTCAGAGCAGCAAAGCATTCATTATGACTAAAAATTGAAAATGGCATGAGAAATTTGGTACAGTAAGAGTAAAGGATGCAAATACATAATTCAGTTCAATTGGGTTGTATAATTATTTAACTTTAAAGGATTAGTAAATGTTTTAGTATTTCTGACACAATATCCAACATTAAAAAACATGAGTCACAAAAATATCTCTTGTAATGAACAAGACATCAAATCATTTTAAATAACATTCTTTTTCAGGGCAATAAAATATTAAGGTATTTTTGTTGTTTTTTATAACAATTCCTATTATTTCACTTTTCCTATCTACTTATAAAAACATGTTAATTTATTTTTACTTTACCACTTTGTTTGAAATAAATATTACCAATGTTTGTGACTAACTTTTTTTCGGTTTCTGTAGGAATTATTTGACATGAACCCAGTAAAACAAGTTGTACAAAAGTATGAAGCCCATTTAAAAACTGAAAATTTTCCATTCAGTTAAAATTCCAGTAATAAATTGCTTATTTCAGAAATAAATTTTATTAAACAATAACATTTTATATCTCACTACCAAATTATTTTGTGTAAAGGTTTCAATTTCAGGTTGATGTCTTGATAGCAAAGAATGTAGAGAGGTACTTTATAAATATATTATTGAATATGAAACCTGATAATAAAATATTTTAATGAGAAAGGAAAGACAGTTTCTCCTGTAGAATGACCAAAAAATGAATGAAAAATAATAGTAATAAACAAGTATTATTGAATAGTCTCATGTAAGAAAATACTTAGAAGACTATAGAAAAAATTCACACGTGAAGAGAAATGCAATTTAAAATAAAAGAAAACAAAGAGACTGAGAAGGAGAAAGGTGGTAATATTAAATCTTGCTACTAGAATGTATTAAACAGAAAAGGTTTAAAACAATATTTTATTTATGACGAATAGTTTCTACCATAGAAGTGATCAAATTTCTCATATTAATTAATAAAATGAAATTTAAAATATCCCATTTGCAAATTTTTTAAGTATATCTTCATGAGAGTATCATCCCTACTGGTTTCAATAAATGCTTTGCTGCAAGATACTTTGGTGGGTAAGAAAATCCAAAACTACTAGCATCTACTCAATTGCACATGCTATGCACTGCTTCCATTCAACAAGCATTATTAACTAAACAGTGCATTACCAAATTTCTGTGTCATTACCTGCATTGTTGAGAATTCCAATATTCACAGTGTCTTTGGAGACTGCTGGCTGATTCAAAGCATTAGCATCAAATATATTAGGATTCACTTTAACCTGTGGTCCATAAACTTTTCTGCCCAAAATGTTTGGATTAATGACCTTTTGAATTTCTTCTTTGTGAGAAGTTCCTACATTCTGAGGCACCTGTCCATATTTAAGAGGTGACACAAATCCATCTACTTTACATGCTGTTGAACTAGTAATTTTACCTGAAGAGGTTATAGAGAGCTTTTCATTTTCTGACTGACCACCAATCATTTGAATAGACCTCTGAAGAGCTTTTCCATCTTCATTTAAAAATTCATTTTTCTTAAATGTGCTTCCTACTTCCCTTTCAGAGTACGGTGGAAGAGGATTACTTGCGGTATTTGTGGCAATTTCAATGTTATTAATTTTTCTAATTGGCATGAAAGGGGAATTGGCCATTCTGTAACTATCACTGCGTTTAACTTTTGCATTTTGTTCACATTCACTTATTTGTCTGTACAAAGAGGGATTCCTCTGCATTAAATAAGTAGTTAATCTGGTGGAAGGAGTGTAGGAGGGAATCTTACCTTCTTCTTGCACGTTGGGGGCTGGTAGTGTTGATAGTCCAGGGCTGAGACTCCTTTGCAGATGCTCATCTGGTGATTTCATCTTAATATAAGCACCACGTGTTGGCTGTGGAGACACAGGGTGATTTGATGTCACAGGTGGTACAGAGGTTACTGGTGAAGTAACTCTAGCATTACTTTTGCTTCCAGCACGTATAATAACTTTTCCTAATTTTGGAGAAATGGGAGAGGCAGTTCTTGTAGGTGAAGAGAATTGTCTGTTGTCTGGAGTAGGAGAGAGGGGTTTTGCTACAGTAGGAGGGAGAACATTACTTCCTCCATGGTTTGATAAAGAGACTGGCCGAATATTGGGTTTTGCAACTCTATGCAACATTAATGGGCTGGCTGTTGGAGAAGTGAGAGTGTCTTTTACATATGGACCTGGTTCAAATGTAGTATGAGAGGCTTTATTTCGGCGCAAACTGTCTGAACTGTATATAACTTTTCCTTCCGAGTCTAATGTAACACGAGCTCCTTGGCGTCGTTTACGTTCTAAAGAATTGGATGGTGAAATTAATATGTTCGCAGTTGAAGAAGTTCGAGCAACAGGTAGTTCATTTAATGAAACATATTCCATATCAACACCTGGTGGAATTTCTGAAGATCTTGCATCTTGACTTCCCACAGGGGAAGGTAGAGAAGATTTATCACTCACAGTTTTGGATATTGTGACATAATCACCAGAATCTTTATTAATTTTATCAATTTTTGTTGATGGTACACCACCAAAGTCCTTTCGAGTTGTTGATGACAAAACTTCTTTCATTTTACCAATCATATTATTAAAAGGAGGAAGTAATGATGTTCTAAAGTTATCTTGCCTTTCTTGATCAGACTGAGATGATGTTTTGTTTTCTTTCTTAATTGAATCTTTATGAGCAAATTTGGGAGAAAATCGCAATGGTCGAAGAGTAGAGGGAGCCACTGAATTTTGAATTGTTTCATCTTCTGTCTGCTTTGAAGTAGTAAAAGTTGACTTCTCAGAAATCACTTCTTTAGACTTTTCTTCGCTAGATTTAGCAAATGGAGATAAATTCTTTTCCTGTGTGTGTACTATATTGGCTCCAAAGTCAGTTTCCAGCAAACTCATTCTATTTTTGGCATTTGATGAAGGCACTGAAGCATTATGTCTATTTGAAGGCACATATTGGCTAAGGCTTGTTTCGTCATCTGATGGAGGTGGTGTTATGACACACATGGATGGAATCCGACTTGAATTTATAGTTGTCTTGACACGTATTCGCTCAAGCCTGTCAACACCTTCCAAGTCTGACTCAGAGAATTCATATTCAGAACTACGTCCAGTGAGGGTTCCGTGAGGACTGCTTGTTGAGTCAACAGGTGAACTAGATGTATTGTGACCACTGTCTGGAGATTCAGACATTTCACATCCTCTTTGTTTATGAACCATGGCTACAACCATCTGGCTGTTAGTTCCAATACCATTTTCCTTCTGGTCTAGAGAACTTTTCCTCTCAGGAACTGTGGGACCTCGAGCTAGAGAGAGGTTGCTTTCATTATTGCTAACCAAAAGAGTAGTGCATACAGTTCCAGCAGAACTGGTAGTAGTGCTGGTTGAGCCTTTACCAAAAAGTTCATATTCATTCTCCGCAGTTAATGTACTATTTGTACGCCCTGGAGAGTTTGATAATGCTGAAGTGCTGTGCAATGGAGTTTGTGGAGTTGAAAGTACTTCTTCTTCTTTCAATGTTTTCAGTCCACTATCTAAATGAAAAGATGTATAATATCCTTCTGTATCACAAGAGTATATAGAGCTTGTTTCTCCATCATCAACAAATGGAACGGTGAAGTCAGAAACAATATCAGGTGTGAGGGTACCTTCACTAACAGAAGAGGAAGTAGAAGTGTTCAGGAATTTTCTTCGACTACCTACTGAGGATGAAGGATGATGATGATTGAGAGAATTACTTGAAGTTGCAGCAGAAGAGAGTGTGGTAGTGGATTTAGGTTGATGTGTTGTTTCTGAGCCAATGGAGGCTCGTCCACTCTCTGAGCTGGCACTCCAGTTACCCGATGAAGAATGTACAGCATCATCTTTGCCAGTTCGTGCTTGTCGTTGTCGTAGTTTCACAGCCATGTTCATTGCTCCTGACTGTGTCGATATCGGTAAGGAACCCAATACAGTAGCTTTCTTCTCATTTTTCAAATCAGCTTTCTTTCCTTTGACTGTTACTGTCTCATATATATTGATTTCTTCTGATGGCTCTATTATCACCTTACTACCATTCTCATTTGTATTATTTCCTTTTATTAATTTCAATTTTCCTTTGCCCCACTGTTTCAAGGAATTAAAATGTGCTTTTATGCCTTCAGACGAAGAAGTATCCTTGATTTTCTGACTATCACTTCTAGAACCACCCACCACCGAGTCATCTGCAGTTGCCAGTGACAGACCCCTAACTTCACTTTCATCCTGGTTTTCTCTGAAACAATAAAAAATCGTTAAAACATCATAACATTTCCTTGACTGTTTATCCTAGTCATATTCAGAATATATTATTGATTCCTTCATATATAAATGATGAATGTAAATATTTACACAACTACCTTAGCATAGAGCCTACTTCTGGTATTTTCATTTTTAAAAGTTTAATTTGTGCTTAGCAAGTTGAAAATAAACATCAATTGTAAACAAATTGCAGTGGCCACATATTTCCAGACACAAAGTTGCACAAAACTCTTGTCAAGAGTAATCAAATGAGTTATCAAATCACCTCTGTAAGTGCTATATGTCACCAAAAATATAGTTTCGTATCTTAAAAACAAACAAACAAAAAAACATGTTTTAGAGAAATTTTGTAGAATTTTTTGGATAGGTCTTCAAAATGATCAGTTTCCCATCAGGATTCTGTGAAGCATTGAATGACATCTCATTTGTCTCAATTGGAAGACCATTCATGGTTTAACTGTGAAAGAGACAGCTGGATGCAGGTTTCATGATTATAAGGATAATATTTTTATTTTGTAAATTATATTTTTATTATAGGATTTTCATTAAAAACTCTGTACAATCCTTAAATAAGTAAATGAAATTAAACTTGGTTAAAGAAATTAAAGATATAAGATAAAAAACCAAAATCACAAATGGATCCTTATATTTTCTGATCTTAAACATTCGTTAATTATGCTGAAAGTTAAGTTTGTTAATATTTATTCCACTTCATTTAAAATATGACACTAAGCTTTAAACACTATAATACGTACATAATTCCATAAACAGAACTGAACGAATAGCTAACATGATAACATTATGATCATATGAATTATTCAAAAGTAACTAATTGTAAGTACCAAAAATTTCATGGATATAGCAATCACAGAAATACAGTAATTACTGATTAGGAGAGCCCAAGAAATTGTTAACACAAAAACAAGTAAATAAAAGATTAACCAAACAATAAATATGTAAACATCAGTGAAGTTATATATGAAGAATATGAAAGATAAAGAAATACAGAGAGGAAAGAAAACTTGAAGGGAAAAAATTAAGGAAACCAATGAAATAATATTATTAATATAACAATTATATAAGTAAAAAGACGGAAAGTAGCAGAAGATTTTTTATTGATTGATTAGTGATTCCAGGCACATCAACGATTATAAGGGCATATGTCCTGTAAGGGTAGTCCTGCATGTTGGTTCTTCGAAAGCCGGGACAAGCTCTAAGCTCCTGACCGATCTCAAGGCTTTCATAGTAGTGCATGTGCATGTAAATGTCTGTGTAAGTTAGGGGATAGGTTAGGGCAAGAAAAAGGAAGGAAAGAACGCGCGCGGTTCGTGGCCCGTATGTTAGGGTACAGCTCCGGCGGAAAACTATTGATCAGAGCTGCCGGCCGCTAGAATTAGGGAATTTGGGCATCCTCGAAAGTTAAATCACTATCGATTTTCTGCGCACGTGCAGTTTAAGTTTCGCGCCACTTTGGTGTAACTGAGCATGCGCAGAATAGCGATAGTGCTGTCCGCTTTGGCGAGGTCAAACTCCCTATTATCCTCCAGACAACGAGAGGAATCGAACTAGCTAGCGTCAAGCTGGTGTGGAAAATCCTCCCACCGTCGGGACTCGAACGTAGGACCTGGCGGTCAGACACACTGCAGTGATATCAGTTGATGCCCTGAGCCAACTCCCCCGGCAGCCGAATATAGTGGTGTGGGAGGAAGAAGAGGGCGAGGAAAAGGAGGAGATGCGACTCACCCCGCAAGCGCGCGCCGGAGCTCGCGCCTGTCGGTGCCGGCGATGGTGTTGCGTCGGCGGCTGCGCGGGCGTCGCGTGCGCGAGGCGCCCTCGGCCGCGCCCCCGGCGGCGGCGCCCGCGTCCTTGGCGCCCGGCGCGCGCGGCTCCAGCAGCGAGCGGCGCAGCAGCGACATGCGGCGGAAGGCGCGCCCGCTCACGTCCACCGCCACCAGCTCGCCCGGGAAGCGCGCCGCCACCGTCGCCGCCTGCTCCTCGGGCGACGGCAGGCGGTGGTCGGCGCCGTCCGCGCCCGCGCCCGAGGCCGACGCCTCCGCGGCCACCGCCAGCGCCAGCGCCGCCGCCGCGGGCAGCCGCGAGCAGTCGGGCGCCACCGTCACGTCGCCCAGCGCCTCCTCCGACGTCCAGCGACGCAGCTCCCTCAGCGCCGCCGGCTGCAACAGCGACGCACGCGCACTCGCTCAGCACACGCGCAAACACCGAAGGGCCCCACCTCGTCCACGGTCGAGCACGCACAGAACATCCAAAAATAGAAGTAAACATGTCATTTCAACACTTTCATAAAAATCCGAAATGATCCCATTTTTAGCGACTCCCCTTACCACTAAAATAAATGTTAAGAAAATAAACGCTAAACTCACGCAAAAACATTTATTTCATGATCTGTTTTCATTACTTCTATTTTGCCTTTCTTTCGTCATGTGATGTAACACATCTTTGGACTCTGGGTATAATATGTAACGATGTGAAAGCCGTTTTTTGGTAAATTTGCTTTACGTGGTCTTAATAATAATAATAATAATAATAATAATAATAATAATAATAATAATAATAATAATAATAATAGTTGATTCTCAAGAAGAATTGTTCACTTTATTTTATTGATTTTCGTCTTCGGCTTTATAGTGAATTAGTGATTTTTGTTTGTTTGTTTGTTAACATTTTTAGTAATCGATATTTTGTTTTTTCCACATAATTAGTATTGATATGGATTCAGTAAAATCGAAAATATAATAGTAAATTGTCAATATCGATATCGGAAGGAAAACATAGGATATCGACATACGAATTCTATCGTTAGAAACAACCTAACAAATTTTGGAAATTTTGTTCTCCCTTTCTGCCACCTCATATCTCAGCACATCCAAGAAAAATAAGTATTATAAACAGAGCAGTCCTTGCATAATATTTCCTTCGATTTGAAATCCTGCCAATACCATTCGGTAATGGAATTATCTGTTGGTTCGTCGTGATGTATCGATGTGTCTGTTCTATGATTCGTTGTAGGTATTGATTCCAAATGTGCCATCCAAGTACGGGACGTGCTGTTGAGGCGCAAATAGATGCGACCCGTCACACCGGCGTGTTCTGCGGGTTGCCGATATCAGCCATTTGTGAGAGGCGCTCAGCGAGACTTTTCCTTCTATTCGTCCGCAATACGTTCGAACATCTCATTAATAATAATGATAATAATAATAATAATAATAATAATAATAATAATAATAATAATAATAATAATAATAATAACTTTAACGGACTGAAATACTTTCCTTTTTTTAATGTTAGAGGTTTTGTTTTAACACAAGGCTTCATTCAACTAACTATAGTGTCTCAACTTTACATAGCAGAACTGCGTAAATGGTAGACAGTATGGTTACTGATTTCAACTACTGCGCGGCGCAAGGCGAGCATGGTTTTGTACGTTCCACAGTATTGAATAAAAATGTTATCACTCAATTGTTCCAATAATTATAATGTATTAATGTTTATAAATTATTGTGACATATTATTTTCTACATATTTAAAACACTAATGGTTTTCGTGTTTTTTAAAGAGCTTTCTATTCAACCAAATTTCATAAATGTTTCTTTAATGAAAGGTAGTGGGCCCTAGATACGTTATCTCTGGCTATTACTTACTGGGTTTATCGCAACAACCCTAAAATTTAATATTAATAGAATTAACTTATCTGCTATCATTTGTTCATTACGTTATTTTTAAGATCACAGTACGTAGTCGTATGGTTGGAGATGCGCAGATAGCGAGTTATAATTATTTCTGAAGGCAACGCTAAGCGAATATGTATATACGCAATGTACCACTAATCGCCTACAACATGTGACCCTGTACAAAAATTTCAGTAAAATTATTTGTGATGCATTCAATTGTTAAGTTAATATGGATAGCAGGATCTCCTGCAATAGCGCACAACAACATACATGACCACTTCTTGGTGAACTTAAAACATTTTATTTACATTTTCAGAAACATGTACACTACGTGTTCAAGTGAATAGTCATTATTCCAGAATTTGTTCCCCCACTTGATCGGTTTGGGGAAGTACTGAATAACACGAAACAACATTTTTGGGGTTTTCGATTTTCTATACAGTGCACAGGTTATAATTTTCTGATGTAACTTTTCTACAACTCTTCCGTTTGTGTAATGTAAACCAATTAGTTTATCCAGTGAATATAATATTCATATTTATGAAAGTCATTTTTGATACGAAGATTCCTCATGTCGTAATTTAATGAAATATATTTCAATAACTCAATTAAAAGGGAATGATGAATGATTCTGCTTATCACAATAAATATATAGTTAACACAACAATACAAATTTGGCGGTAAATATGTGTTAATTGAATTTGCTAAACAATGATGACTCTCCTTCCATCACACATCTGCGATGGGGAAAATTATTTTCTCCTGCAATGGCAAATGTACCCCCTGGTGATCATGAGAATATTATTTCAATTTTTTTTTTTATATTTGAGACGAGTTTACACATTATGGAGAACTGTAAAACATTTACGTTAGTAAACGCCACGTATCTCACCGGCACAAGAAATAAAGAAGAAGAAAAAGAAAAAATAAAGAAATTTCAGAAAGTATTTAAAACAGTTTCCCGTTCTCGCCATTTCATTCTGTCCATAAACCTTCTATCCTCTACCCATGATGTCCGTTTAATACCAACGTTTTAATATTTTAATAAATAACAATCAGTATAATTATCATTGTTGTCATATTTTTTACACGATAGAACGATCATCTAAGTACTCTTTTAACACAAACAGATGCAATATTCGACACATCTCATTCAAAACTATTTTTCGAATACACATAAGGCAACCTCAACTATTAGGCAAAATGTAATTTGGTATGAACGTTACAAAATCGTTTCAAGCAAAATGAGAGCTCAGACATTTCATAACACAAACGTTTCGCCCCTTCGTCCGGTGGCAACCGAATGGCTGTCCCGGCTTCCAACACGTGTATCGTCGCGCTTTACACGTTCGTGGCCTTTACAAATGCGGATCTCTAAAGAAAATGTAGGGAAATGAAAGGTTATGGAGTTCCAGTCAGCCTCAAAAATAATTACATATCAACAAAACTCTCCATCCATCCTGTAGTTTAAATCAAAGAGGAGCATTTTTCTCGCATGTTGACTTTTGCATGTTTTATCGGTGAAATTACATCTAGTTAATTCAAATTTAATTTTAATATATTAATAATTACTAATTCAATTTATTTGAAATTTTACAGAGTGTGTCCACAGCATCAGCTAAAAGTATCGCTAGGAAATATATACAAAATCGTCTAACACGTGGTGTGGCTAGAAATAGAAAAATCGAACGACGGTGAAACGTCTGTCTGTGTCCGTCCGACCGTCCGTCAACGCCAGCGGCTAAACCGTTCAGCCAATTTTCTCCAAAAGTGACATTCCCTAATTGATCTGGCTGATGTCGCGGCCTCTTGAATTTGAAACCGATATTTTAATTTTTGAGGGTACTTTACATGAAGCCCCTGGACAATTTCAAAATGTAAATAAAATAAATAAATAATAAAAAAGTTCATTTTTCATTAATTTTTTCTGTTGGGTAGTGTGAAGGACTTTTAAGAGAATGGTGAAAGCCTCATTTTCGTTGAAAATTCTGATTTTTGAAAATTGCAAAAATTCAATTTTTTTCGGAGTCTTCCTACATAATTATATTTCTTCGTAATTATAAGGAAGATAGTTATTTTCCCTTAATGAATTTATTCCTTAAATATATATTTTAAAATAAGGTCATATACAATTTTTCGAAAATTTGAGTACTTTGCGTGAAAGTACGGGCGAGAAAGTACATGCTTTTTTAGCACCATTATTTTAAAAATGTTTTTGGTTATAAAGCCTTTAAATTTCTTTAAAAAGTCTTTCAATACCTCAATCATATAAGTGGATTATTCTAAATTGCTTGTAATTCAAGGAACAAAGCAAATATTTGTAAATGATATTGACTATTGGGGTGACGCCGCCTCGAAGGCTGTGTTGCCGACCTTTCGACCATCTTACGAACGTGGCCTTCTTCAGGGCTGGTCTGCCACGTACTTGGTGGATTGATAAATTTCCTCCACGTAGAGGCGAATTAAATGAAGTCGTAGGCTTCCGCGGCTGAAGAAGACCACGATAAGATGGTCGTGACGTCGGTAACACAGCCTTCGACGCGGCGTCACCCGGACAGCCAAGATCATTTACATGACTTCGGTCGCGGATGCCTACAACTTCAAAGCAAAAATGTATCTAAAGTTATTCTTCTAGAAGTTGAGAGTTCATTAAAATGGTTATTGAAAAAGAAGGGCGGGAATGATACGGCCGTAATTTGGATATATCCAAATGATCAGCTATCTAAATGTATATTTAGTCACAACGTATCTTTAGATTATTCTATTCATAACTCTCATGCCGTAGATACTGGAGATGTAAAATATGTCAAAGACTATAGTTAAGACTGAGCATTTATGTCGGCAAAATAAGAACATTTCTATCCCTTCCGAATCAAATTTCGAGAGTAAATGGGAAAGCAGATCTTAAGGCCCGAGTCTCGCCACTTGAAATGAAGACTCTAAATTTGATTCCGCCATACCGAACGTGTTAACTGCTCCTGCACATGGGTAGCATGAAATCATCGAGCTTGTAAATTTACTGGATTCAAAAGTACATAAATAGAGCGTATTTGTGTTCTACATACAGTGTAAAGTAAGACATTCGAAAAAAATACAACTACATTTAAAAGTTTTACAAAAATTTTAATGTCTTTTTTAAGTAATGTTCATATCATACAGCGGTCACTGTAATTGCCACTACGTTAAGTAACGTTAGAGGAACTTGCATCCTGTACACGGACACACAAACATGTGCCCCAGGCAGGATTTGAACCTGCTATTGACATTTGACACTGAAGGAATGAGGCAGGTCGGTCCTTCAGCCTTAGTGACCTTGGCTATTCTGATTAGAAGTTCTGATTAAAAGGTTGCTTTCTTCGCGATAACAAAAATATTTCAGAGGCCCCACGAAATGAGAGAAGCGTTGGGAGCGCAGCACTTTGGCCAAGCGAGTGGCAGGCACGAGGCGAAACCTTCCTTATAATAACAGACCTCTCAAGTACACG